TTTAAATTATAAGTACAAAAAATATTTTATCTCTCTACGTTCAGCATTATCTACATGAACATTTACAACAAACATTGCTTTTCTTCTTGAGCTATATTCTGATATGCCTACCCGGTAAGATTACGAACATGTCTACGAACAATCAGGCTTCGATCCTCGTGTGTGTGCGACAACAAACGTGTTTGAGTGGTAAGTACCTACCTACCCACCTATTAAAATCGTCGACTATCCGCGGGGTAAACTCGAACGATCATTAATGGGAAGGTGGGGGAAGGGACTAATTTTTATTTTACGGTTGATAGAGATGCATGATGAATTACTAAAACTAGAAAAGTTTTCCGGAAAACTTTCCAAATTCTAACGTTACGATTTTTTCTATGGAATGTTTGCGCAAATATTAAATATTGTTTGAAAATAATAGGTATGTCGGGACAGCTAGTTAAATAATAGAGATAGGAAGGGTAGGTACTTTACCTAAGAGTCTATAGACCAGACGCACTCTACAAGTGATCTGTGCATATACTGCACTCTTCAGGGCGCGTGCAATCGGCGCGATCCAGTCGGAAATTGGCCCTTTTGTACGAGGCCTGCAAGTCGCAGTGCAGACTAATTAGCAGGCTGCTTTGAAAAAAAAGTAATAAGTAGGCATCACCTGGTAATCCGAAACGTATGGTTAGGCTAGCAAACATTATTTACTTACCTAGGTAAGTATAACAATGGGCCACAGTTCCAGCTACCCATTTCCGTTTTTTTTCTCATCATCATCATTTCAGCCCCAATTCGTCCCCCGGACACGGCCTGAGCCGAGGTCCAAGCCTACCGTGGCGCCCTCAGGCCGCGTACGTAGTCTCCTCGATCGGGCCCACTAGAGTGAGCCCGCCGTAGCTGCGTAGGCTGGACTTTGGTCCAACACCGCGGTGGGCAACCTTCTAACTAGTTGGGTTCGCCACTGATCGGGCGCCTTATGCGCTCGATACGGCCCTTGGACGAGCCTGCGAAGCCCACACTCGGCCTCGTCGGCACGCGCACCGACGATCGCTAAACGGCTAGAGTACCTTCTGTACTCGCCACTTTGCCCGGTGAAGCTGGAAAAGCTCTTAAAGCCACCAGGGCGCGTCCCTTCAAAAAAAAAAAGGACGTCCACAGCTAAACATAGTTCGCATGATTTTTTTATCGCTCTCATCAAATGGTGATTCTTTACGATAGAACGAGACGACATGACCGAAAATTTGGGTAAGTAGCTGAAACTGTGTGTGCCGACATAGGTACTTACTGTTATTCGTTTCAGCCAAATGACGACGTCCACTGCTGGGCAAAGGCCTATCTCAAGGATTTCCACAACAATCGGTCCTGCGCTGCATCCAGGAAGTAAGTTAAGTTAACCTATAGGTAACTTCCCGCGACCTTCACCAGATCGTCGGTCCATCTAGTTATTTATCCTAAGGACTCACATGTTACGTTTTGCACCGCCTACTCAAATTCTCTGTTTTGCCAAAGGTTAGCTGGTAGAAAACCACATGGCATTAAGCTCGCCCTTTTGTACCATTTTTTTCATGTGCAATAAAGTTTAAAAGAAAAAATAAGTGAGTAGAGGTACACTTTCCTAAGTAAATACCTACCTAAGATTTATTAATTTCTCACCCAGTGTGTGGCAGCCCTTAAACCACCATAGGAACAGTAGTATACGCAAACGCCTACTTAGTTCTCTCCTAGGCATTAATTAGAGAGAAATGAAAAGAGCAGCGTTGACGTAGGTAACTTTGAATTGGATGCCTTTTGAAGAGGCGAACACAGAACCGCAACAAAAAACTCGATGTAACTAGGTAGTTACGAACTGCACTAGTTTGAATTTGAGACTAGTTACGGAATACAGACAATATACATTATGTATAGCAAATAAAATATATAATATAAATATTTTTTCTTTCTTTCTAAGGAGAGCTCTTAGAAGTCATACAATTTCAGAAAACGTAGGCATAATAGGAATAAATAATTTAAAAAATCTGCTTAAGTTGGACTTCCTGCTTTAAGTTTTCTAGTTTCAAATTTTCTAGCCTATATTTGAATTAGAAATCAGGTATATTTTATAGGAAANTAATGGTGGCCATACACGTTAGGGTTTGCATGATGGTTACGACCGTACATGCTTAACCAACAGGTATAACCGAGTTATCTATAGCACATACACGTTAGGGTTTGCATATACAATCTAAATTTATTTAACTCAAAGGTGACTGACTGACTGACATAGTGATCTAACAACGCACAGCCCAAACCTAGCAGTAACATTAAGATTTCTTGCAACAGGGAGAACACATGAGTGTCTTAAATATTCACCACCATTCACTGCCACAGACTATAGGAGACTGAGAGAAAACTGTGCATGCAAGCATGAGCGGGCGCACACACGCTCGGTTATGCATGTGCGCAAACATAACCGAGCGGCAAAAATATCTTTTTTGATATTCGTTAGGTTGCATGTACACGCACCAATAACTGTATAGTTTTATAACATACACGCTAGGGTTTGCATGTCGGTTAAGCATGTACGGTCAAAACCATCATGCAAACCCTAACGTGTATGGCCACCATGAGACATGATGGTGTTTACGAATTAATTACTAAAAGCGTGATGACACTAATGAAATGAAACTTTGTACATATACTAAGGAGGTTATTGGCTAATTAATTAAATTTAGCGCGAGTCAATAATAACACTTGAAGATACTTAGGCTCAAAACTTTTCAGCCGCCCCTCGTACTTATTGCAAGCACATTTACAACAAACATTGCTGTTCTTCTTGAACTATATTCTGATATGCCTACCCGGTAAGATTACGAACATGTCTACGAACAATCAGGCTTCGATCCTCGTGTGTGTGCGACAGCAAACGTGTTTGAGTGGTAAGTACCTACCTAGTAGGTAGGTAGTACCTACCCACCTATTAAAATCGTCGACTACCCGCGGGGTAAACTCGAACGATCATTAATGGGAAGGTGGGGGAAGGGACTAATTTTTATTTTACGGTTGATAGAGATGCATGATGAATTACTAAAACTAGAAAAGTTTTCCGGAAAAAATTCCAAATTCTAAAGTTACAATTTTTTATATGGAATGTTTGCGCAAATATTATTATTGTTTGAAAATAGATATGTCGGGACAGCTAGTTAAATAATGGAGATAGGAAAGGTAGACCAGGTACTTTACCTAAGAGTCTATAGACCAGACAGACGCACTCTACAAGTGATCTGTGCATATACTGCACTCTTCAGGGCGCGTGCAATCGGCGCGATCCAGTCGGAAATTGGCCCTTTTGTACGAGGCTCGCAAGTCGCAGTGCAGACTAATTAGCAGGCTGCTTTGAAAAACAAGTAATAGACATCACCTGGTAATACGAAACGTATGGTTAGGGTAACCCCACGCTAGCAAACAGCCCCGGATTTTCAATTTTTTTAGGCGGGGCAAAAACTGAAAAAAGCTTAAAAATGAAACCTGATTTTGCCGCCCTCTAAACTTGCCGTCCGGGGCATGGGCCCAGACTTGTCCCAAGATCCGGGCCTGTTAGCAAACATTATTTACCTAGGTAAGTACAACAGAGGGCCACAGTTCCAGCTACCCATTTCCGTTGTTTTTCTCGCTCTCATCAAATGGTGATTCTTTGCGATAGAACGAGACGACATGACCGAAAATTGGGTAAATCGCTGAAACTGTGTGTGCCGACATACTTACTGTTATTCGTTTCAGCCAAATGACGTCCACTGCTGGGCAAAGGCCTACCTCAAGGATTTCCACAACAATCGTTCCTGCGCTGCATCCAGGTAAGTAGTACCTACGCTTCCTACGACCTTTACCAGATCGTCGGTCCAACTAGTTATTTAGCTACTTAGTTCAAAGTAATTAAATCCAGGACTCCCATGGTAAATAAGTGAGTAGGTACACTTCACTAAGTGATAGATAGATAATGTGCTTAGTTTCAAAACCTTCACCTAGTGTGTGGCAGCCCTAAAACCACCATAGGAACAGTAGCATACGCAAACGCCTACTTAGTTCTCTCCTAGGCATTAATTAGAGAGAAATGAAAAGAGCAGCGTTGTCGTAGGTAACTTTGAATTGCATGCCTTTTGAAGAGGCGAACACAAAACCGCAACAAAAAACTCGATGTAACTAGGTAGTTACGAACTGCACTAGTTTGAATTTTAGACTAGTTACGGAATACAGACAATTTACATTATGTACAGCAAAGAAGAATTTCAGAAAACGTAGGTGTAACAGGAAGAAATAATTTTAAAAATCTGCTTAAGTTGGAAGTTGAACAGAAGACTTTTCCTGCTGCAAGTTTTCTAGTTTCAAACAATCGAAAATTAAATTCAAGTGGTCGAAACGAAAAAGCTAGCATTATTATATTACATGTAGGCAGAGTCATCATAGAAATCTCCATCAAGCATGGTTATTTCTAAAAAAAAATAGATTTTGGCTGAGTCTAAATAATACTTTTACTTCTTGTTACATAGCAAAAATAATATAATCAATATAGTCTTCTCTAAATTTAATATTGGGACCATTACATTAACAGTAATATTCAGAAACATTGACCAAGCCTACTCGTTTTGAATTAGAAATCAGGTATATTATTATATTATAGGAAATCCAATAAGGAATAAAACTAGTCTAAAATATAGTTAAAGATTTATTATTTGATTTCATATTTGGTAAAATGCTGGAATGCAATTATAAATGCCTATACTTTACAAGATGAATCCAGCTAACCAGATTTTACATAATTATTGACACAAGATAAAAAAATCACAATAACAGTAATACAAAAAATACAATGAATATGACTGAATACTTTGACCGTAACTTTTTAAATATCAAATAAGATATTTTGTTCCGTAATATTATTTTAAATCTATAATTATGTGTCAGTCAATCATTTAAATTATTGCTAACAATATTTAAATTATTAAGTAAATAATAAGAAGAGCTTTTATTTTGTAACATTGCTTGAATACTGGCAATTGTAAAGGCATTATGTCATGGTTCCAAAGACAGGGTTGTGTCTGCAGATGCTTGGCCCATACTCCATGTACGCTTGCTTAGTGTGGCACACCTGGTAGAACTCCGGAGTGGAGGCCAACATACTACCTCCAAACCACACAGCGTACCTCTGCATGTTGTGCGATACCACCTGCACATCAATAGGTGTAGGCGTAATACGTCCTTCTGACAACATTGTAGAAAGCTTCAACCTAGCATCGACTGTGCGCTTAATATCTCTCTGCAACCTCCTTCCAAAGTCACGGAACATAGTTGACCCTCCAGACAACACAATGTTGCCGTACAAACCCCTCCTCACATCAATGGGGCATGACTGGATCACCTCGTCAACCATTTCATTCAAAGGTACCGTGAAATCTGCATTTGAAAATTCAGGATGGAAGAATATTTCTGGCCCCAAAAACCTCTCATAACCAACATCAACAGAGAATGGATTTTTAGTAATGGCATTGGTTCCTGTGTATTTCTTCATCCATTTTCCTGGGTCTGAGTCATACTTGGCAAACTCTTTAGCTATGTCAGGACAAATATAACTGTATCTCTCTTTTATCGCTTTGGCAGTTTCGAGACTTTGCTCCGGTGGGATGCCCACTTCTCTTTCACGGAGAAGTGACTGGATGAAAGATGTGATGTTTCTGCCAGCAATTGGAATGTGCTTGATGCAAGATCCGATGACATAACCCTCTGCTACTGGCACAATGTGGGTTACACCATCACCGCTGTCTACTACGATGCCCGTAAAGGTGCGTTTGACCGACGTGCGCGACTTCCACGACGCAGCGAGGGCTAGTACGGCTTGCACCGCTATGTACAAGCCTGGCACGTTGAAAGACTCAAACATAATCTCCGCTAAGTACTCCCGATTCTCCGGCGTGTTCAGTGGAGGCTCGGTCAGCAAGAAGTGATGATCCTCAGGCTCGGCTCTGAGGTATTTGAACACGCATTGCTCGATGTATCGCTCCATCAAGTCCCAATCTTCGACGAGTCCATGACGCACCGGATACTTCACGGAGTATCCAGTAGCGTCGAACGCTTCATCCCCGATGAAGAAATCTAAGTCCTCGACGGCTTTAGTCATGCGACGAGTGCTCTGATCGCCTACTTTCGCCGTTTCTTTTATCGCTATGGCTGAGGGAATGATAAACTGCGGTTCCTTGTTGCCGGCGAACCCTAGCTTCGTATAGCCAGTTCCCACGTCAATAACGCATGCTGGCAGGTGATCACCCATTTTATTTTGTAAATTTCAACAAAACTGCACCAATCAGTCACAAATAAAGCCGAATTTAGGTTTATTTTGGGTGCGGTGCAGCCACTTCCACTTTTTTGACGTTTCTTATCTGTCAATTTTGCGGAAGATGATTAATCAGTTGCGTTCCATTTCATGTAAAAAAATATTACTTTATAATTTATGAAACTTGATTATAAAAGGGCTATATTTTAATATAATAAGCATTATGTACGATAATACCCACTCTATAGAACGAACACTATTAACACTCAAGTCTTAGAACACCTCATAAATTTTAAAGAAACTATTCAACAGAGATCATAACTAATAGAGCACACGGATTATTCCATTGAAATCTCGAGGCCCCCCAACGGAGCACCGGGATGATCTTACATAAAGAGGTTCCATGCAATCACATGGCCAGAAATAGAATTCAACTCCTATTTGGGGCCCCTGGGCCCCCTGGGAGTACTTATAATAATATTGTAGACTAGCGGCCGCCCGCGACTTCGTACGCGTGGATCCCGTTTTACCCCCTTCATCTTACGCCGTTTAGATTTTTTCATACAAATGTTTTTTCCCGCTAACTCCCGTTCTCGTGGGAATTTTGCAATATCCTGTTGTAACTAAGCTTTAAGTTTACTAAGGTACCTGCATGCCAAATTTCAAGCGTGTATCTTAAGCGGTTTAGATTTTTCATACAAAAGGATTTTCACGCTAATTCCCGTTCCCGTGGGAATTCCTAAGTATACTATACCTAGTACCTGCCCAGGAGTATGAAGAATAATTGTAGGTACCAAGTTTCGTCAAAATCCGTCAAGTAGTTTTCGTTTCTACACTACAGACAGACAGACAGACAGACAAAAATTTTACTTATTGCATTTTTGGCATCAGTATCGATCATTAATCACCCCCTGATAGTTATTTTGAAAATATATTTCATGTACAGAATTGACCTCTCTACAGATTTATTATAAGTCTTTATAAGTATAGATAGATTGAAAAAAATCAAGCACAGTGGCGTACTTAGTATCATACGGGGCCCCCGGGCTACAGGGACCCATCCACATCGATAAAGGGCCACTTCTACTAAAAAAAAATTAAATTCCAACAGTTTAAATAAATATTCTTTAGTTTTGTAATGTAGGATTTTCTGGAATGGGCACATCATTCTACTTCAAATTAGCTACATCTCAGGTGGAAAATCTCAAGGGTTGGAAATAAAAATACAGGTTTTAAGATATAAAGCAGGTAATATTTATTGTGACCTGGTTCTATATTTACACATTTTACAGGAATGTAGCTCTTAACCAAATAGCGATTTAACAACGAATCATAAACGAAATAAGTCAAAATACCAAACCAGAAAGGTTCTTTACTTTTCCTTATCGTCATTTACATTATTCATGTTTTTCTTATTGTTTAAAATTTCATACATTAAAATATAATGTGAAAAATAATTGTAACAATATTTGCCAATTTTACAATTCTGGACCTGCTAGTGCATTGATGAGTATGATATNGATGATAATTTTTTAAATAATAATTTCAATAAAATTATTAATCTAATAAAATAAACACATACCACTTAAATCTATTTCCTTTATAATATTATAATGCAGACTGTGTTGGCAAAAGACATTTTGAGTTGTAATTTGTTTAAAACAAAATATAAAAGGAATAATTAATTTTTATATGCATTCATCCCTGTTGTTAAACTTACATAATTATGTATAAGTAATTACTTATCCATTAACATTAGTATAATCAACATTAAAATTTAGTGTAGGTAAATACAAATAATTTTACATAAATCCCATATTCAATTTTTACTGCAAATAATTTTATAAATAGGTAGTTGTTGATAAAAAAAAGTGGTTAGACAAAAATATTTACGAAACTTTGGTTTTAAAAACAGAAATAAATTAAGCATAGAGTTTTGCAAAGTCAGCAGAATAATAATAAACCCCTAATCTGAAAATATAAAAATACAATCTATAATTTTCTTATATGCTACTATTTATTTATCAATAACAACAGTTAAAAGTCTGTTACATGGAGGTTTAATGGAAAATGGATACAACGAAATATTAAATTACTCTGTTGGATTAAAAAGAATATTACATAGTTTAATTACCATATCCTAATATCTCACAAACCGTTACTGTATTTATTAAGATTTTACAAACATTGTTCATATTATTTTATACATTAAATTTAACCAGTAGGTAAACATTATTTGTTTTTTCTTTGTATATTTTTTAGAAGCTCAAATGCATACAAAGGCATTCCTAATGAAATATAGCAATTTTCAGTTTTCAATCACATAAACAAGATTGTTGAATTAAAGCTGGTTGGTATAACTTTTTCACGAAAATTTACAAATTAAAAATAATACTGAGCGAGAACATAGAATTTGAGAGTTGAAAAAAAAAAAGTTGAGTTTCTAAGTTCATAGAAAAAGGTTACACCAAATGTTAGTACAGAAATAGTGTATAATGGTAATCATACCATAATTTATATAAAAAGAATTACACAGGAAGAGTTACACACTCAGTGACATTAAATTTAAAAATCCAACGTTTAATCTGTATTGGAGTAGGCTTGCCGAAGCTTCAGCACATAAGGCATAACAAATTGCACATAATTATCATTTATAACATTTGGGAGTTAATTTAAAACTTAGATTGACAGATCACTCTACCTAATCAGTATCAAACGTTCAGACTTAAGTATATGTCGACTTAACCACAACATACCTTAAAATACAAAAATCTTTTGCCGATGATCGATTCATGGACCATTTGGAGATGTTAAAGTTGTGGTTTTAGATTTCTCACCACATCGCGTAGTCTGAGTCGTCCATGTCAAAGATTGTGAAGAAACCAAGGATAGTGAGATGGACTATGACATTCCCGGCTAGAGTGAGCAAGCATGCGCCAAGTTTTATCTGAAAATTAGAAAAAAAAAGTATAAATATGTGTAACAGAACGTAGTACAATGAGTATTCAACTATACTATGTAGATTTTGTAGATAAAACTAATTAATAAACTCAGTAAAAAACTCAGTAAAACTCATTTATATCTGTAAGTAGGCTTTAAAACTACTTATTTGCACTTTTACTCATGTATTAACCCTACCACTGTTTCAGGACAATAAATGGGCCAGTGCTGAGAAGAAGCAGCGCAAGAAACTCAGACACTATTGTCAGCCTCTTTTTCAAAGGTTTACAGGTTTTCAAAATACATAGTTATAAATATTTATGCGAGCTAGGCAGTTACGCATCCCAAACATTTTTATCTTTTAAATAATTATCGACTTTATAGTAGCCCTTTTTCATTAAGGTACTTTTAATATGTGCTTTGAATTTATGAATGGGTAGTTCTACAACAGTATAGAACCAGTAATAACTACAGTCATTGTGTTATGGAGTGGGCCAGAACATCAGAATTGAGGGAAACAGGAAGTGATGGTACATACGGAACCAATGGTATGATACATATCATAACTGTATTTCCCAATGGTTAATGGCCTATAAGCAAATAAACATAAGAAACAATTTAATATAATATTCCTAAACTGAAATCTGAAGGAGGCCATCATCCTGCTGGCCAGTTTCCAACACACTGTATAATAAACTAGCTTTCAGGCCGTGGCTTCGCCCGCGTGGAATTTTGTCTGTCACAGAAAAACAATATCGCGCGCATATTTGCTCACCGTTTAGACCTACCCTGGACTACGACAAACATTTTAAAACCAAAATCAGCTCAATCGGCCCAGCCGTTCTCGAGATTTAATCACACTAACGAACATCAATTCATTTTTATTTATATAGATAAATTTATACTTGTAATAGACTTCGGACGCAGGTTGGCTGTAGTAAGGACAATCTGGTCAGGTGGGGATTCTTGGATGGCTTAAACATGCGAGTGTAGGTGCGGTTTTATTCCCAATCCATGAAGCACCTGATGTCATGCCCTGAATGCCCAAGCAACTGCACTCAGGCGGATTTTGCACTCAGGAGGATTTGATGAGACAACGCCACTCTTGTGGCGGTGTTTTGGGCTGACACTGTGTAGGTTTGTTATCGACACAACAAGAAGAAGAATTTATACTTACAATATGTGCATGTGCAAGAACAATCGGCAGTGCAAACGAGCTGACGATGAGTCCCATGGTAATAAATATGGCAGTTTCCATGCAGGCCGAGTTGGTGCCTCCGGCGCTGTCTGTGTATCGCCTAGCCAACATCGTCGGCATGGGACAGAGCAGGTAGAACAACACCACAAAGAACGGCCACCACACACTGGAATATAACAACAAGAAGTGTCAATAAGCATGTATTGCCTATGAGGTTTAAGGACAGTTAGTCTTCAAGTACTAGCAAATGGAGACAAAATAGAAATCATATGTTACAGCTTCTCATGCAACCACTTGGGTTTCACAAGTTAAGTGTTTTTGGGGAATGTTGGTTTGCTTTTCCCATCTTTTGTTGTAACTCCACAATTGTACCTATTCATAAGATAAGATGATGATATAATCATTTACATAAGATGAAATTGATTGCATAGTGTAAGCCAAAATTATAATAAATATGATTTCACTTACTTTTCATAAGTTGGTAGAGCACACGCCAATATAACGAACGTCATTCCAATCGACCCAGTGAACGCTAGGGACACCAAACTGAAATACAAGTGTAAAAGTTATATTTTTTAATCTATGTCAATTCCACTGGTTGAATAAACAGTTTTATAAGACATCATCAATCTACAAAGCACTATTTAGGGCATCTTTTGATAGCAATTTAACAAATAATATCTTAAATTGGATGTGCTGAGATCAGCTGCTATGAAATCATTATCTTGTTTACAGAACAAAGAAACGGTATTTATTGAAACTTAAACGTTTGATACTCACCCTAAAATTATCCATGACGATTACATGAAACAAAAAACAGTAAAATTGTTGATATAAACTGTATTTCCGATAAAATTATGTTAGTAAATATCATGACTCATAGGTACCAATAAAACATGACTTTCACATCAAATTAATCAATACACTTATTTGCTATTTCAATTTCAACGTCTTACCTTTGATTCCAGCCATTATGCTTATGTCTAAAGTATTATTTGGGGTGTTTAAATGAAACGATTAGTCGTAAAATCGTGAAATCTATTTTTCACAAAATAATGAATGAAATCAAGTAACAACATTGACAGCTGAGTTAAAGACCATTATTTGAACGCCCCGTTCATTAAACGTTATTTATATTTAAATAACGCTATTGCGTTACACTTTTTGAAAAATGCAAAAAGTAATATTTTGCAAAATAAATTATTTCTATAAACTTGAGTTTACATTGGTAGGATTACACAGAAAAATTTAGTAAAATTAAAAAGATAAGTTAAAAGTTTATTTAAAAAGTTTGAAATGAATCATATTTTTTCTAAGTCCCCATTAAGTAAATCTTGTATTTTAATAAGCGTATAAGTTGCGTTTTCCAAATAAATAAAAAATAGTTTTCCTTTATTTGCGTGAAATAAAAATGGAAATAAATAATAAAAAAAGTAACGTTGTATTAATTTATACATAATACCGTTATTTTATTTCATAATGACACTACCGCAATATCAATGGATCGGTCAAATAGTGTGATCAGTACAACAAGTTTGAGTATTACTTTTCTCTATGAGTTTGAGTGAGTTGTGTTGTATTTAGGTTATAAATTTTTAATGCAATTTGGCGATTTCTAACGAAAATTTCCTCATTTATCTTTAATTCCATAATATATCTTGTCAATAAATCACAATGGATGATGATGCAGAAACATACAAGCTTTGGCGTATTCGGAAAACTGTAATGCAGGTAAGGTTATAAAATTGTTGTTTGTTGTGCTATAAACGGTGTAAAAAAGCCAGCTTATTCCAAAAAAATAACTTTTAAAGAGCTGTTCATATGTATATAATAATATTACATCATAATGCTGTACTTTATAATGTACATAGTTGCTGATTTCGGTAAATTTTTCGTTCATTAAAATTACCACGAAATGTATCTTTTTTACAGCTATGCCACGACCGTGGATACCTTGTAACGCAGGATGAATTGGATCAAACGTTAGAACAGTTCAAAGAGCAATTTGGAGACAAACCCAGGTAAATTACTTACACAAACTAACTATCTTAAATTAAATAAAACCTTACCTATGTTCAAGCGAGTAGTTTCTGATATAGTTTTGTCCAGTATGTGTTTTTTAACTTTATCGTCGAGTACCTTCATTCTTGAGGGTTAAAAGTGTTACCAAAGACTTATAAAAAGTTACAATTTTGACTATTTATAATAGTTTTTACAAATATTAAAATAGAAATGTAAAATATAAAATAAATTGTTCAAATGTATGCTTTCCTGTAAAATGTTTATTATTGTGTCAAAATTTGATGTGACAAATCACTGACATTTTTCTTTTTCAAAATTATTTTTTATAGTTACCAGAAAAGAGTACGACTATAAATTTTTGTGTTCTTTTTTCAGTGAAAAGCGTCCGGCAAGAAGTGATCTGATTGTCCTTGTAGCCCATAATGATGACCCAACGGATCAGATGTTTGTGTTTTTCCCTGATGAAGCCAAGATTGGTATTAAAACTATCAAAACATATTGTACCAGAATGCAAGAAGAGAATATCCATAGGGCTATTGTGGTTGTACAAGCAGGTATTTATTTTCAACATTTATTACTTTAAATAATTTATATTTGGATTATATCACAATCTGCTTTTAACCCGGGTGTCCCATAAAGAGAGTGCCAAACTAAACGAGATGATAGACTAATCGATTGTTAGTTTATCACAGTTCTTATTGCTGTGTGAACAAATGACCAGATATTTTTCAAGGCGAATAAGAAGAAACAACAACAGAAAGGCTAAAAATTGGAGATTTAAAAAAAATGTGAAATGGTGATACTTTTACTAAAGATTTTTTTAATGGATGGTCATCCATTAGTCTTTCATCTCCTTAAGTTTGGCACACTCTTTATGGGACATCCTGTATATACTTATGTTACGAGTGGGTGCACTATAATAGCCCAGCAGCCGTGGTGTTTGAATCCACATACTTGGAGCTTAATGAGGGTTTTCGTGTATGAAAATTCGCCAGATGGCAATACGTAGACGCGAGGTCCAAATGCTGCATGATTGGTTATTTTTGACATGACATTGACAGGTATGTCAAAATCCACCAATCACGCAGCAGTCAGACCCCACATCCACGTCCCGCCATCTAGCAGATCTTACATACGCGAAAACCCTCATTAGGCTAGTACGACTACAACAATATTGGGTTATTGTCGCTTCAACAGAACTTTTAATTGAGAAAGTCAATAAAAATTGAGTATTCATTACTACTTTACACTTATTTAACCAAGCTGTATTATTTTTAGGTATGACACCCTCAGCCAAGCAGTCACTGGTAGACATGGCCCCCAAGTACATCCTGGAGCAATTCCTGGAATCGGAGCTGCTCATCAACATCACGGAGCACGAATTAGTTCCGGAACACATTGTACTCACACCTGATGAGAAGCAAGAGTTGTTGGCGAGATAGTATCCTTTTAAATTTCAATCACTGTACTGCTAGCCTATAAGTTAATCCCTTTAAGCTTTGTTTAAGTCCCTAATGCTCGTTTTCGCCATCAATCCCTAATTTTTAAGTGACCCTTATGGTACCACATAACAGGCATTTTGTTTTCATAGGGGTCACTTAAAAATTAGGGATTGATGGTGAAAACGGGTATAACTGTTTTATTATGAGTCTTTGAAATGGGAGCAACAGGCAAGGCAGGCAGGAGCAATAATATGCTTAATGAAATCAATGTAATAATAACATTATAAGATTTTTGTTGTGTTGTGTCGTGGGCTGTCAAAAAAACCCGATGAGTAAAAATGCCTTAAGGTTCGGCCAAACCAACGCGATGGCGATCAATGCTTTTAAGTCTGATCGCCATCGCTGCACGCCGGCTGATCGCGTGTGATCGCGATGGTTTGGCCGAATCTTTAATTTAATGTGTATTCAGCCAAATAGGTAAGTTACATATTTGCTTGTGTGTAGTGAGTGGCTTCACCACAATAGGCGGATAGTCGCCATAATCACCCCATAAGTTCAATAGTTAACAGCGATTGAATTAACGACCTCTCGTATCAGTAGTCTAGTAGTGCTCAAAACCAAAATATTGTTGAAACATTTATTTACTCGTATATTTTTTCACGATAACCAGTTCGGACATGGAATATTGCAGTTACACTATATGAATAATTTTCTTAACCAACAATACAGTAAATTGAAAGAGAACATGCTGATGAGGATACAGGCAGGTGATCCGGTGGCGAGATACTTTGGGCTCAAGAGAGGACAGGTAAAATATATAATGCAACCTTTATATTATAACGACACTTACGGGACAGCAGTTTTCGACGCGTCTTTCCGTTCTATACATAGCCAGAACGCATGGGTGTGAAAATTTGTATATAGTTTGTAGTCACAGATTTACAAACAGGCACTACAAAATATACACGAGCAGTTTCCTATGGGTGCGTTCTGGCCATGTATAGAACGGAAAGACGCGTTTTCGACGTTATAGAGAGTGGACGTTAAATGGAGAGACACGGTAGAGCGGCTAAGCCTAGGCGCAGACCACCGACTTTTAGTTGGTTGATTGTTGAGTCGGGCTGTCAATCAGTATGAAAATGTATGAAAGTGCGTACATTGGATCGGCCGATTCTTCATACAAATTAGAACCAGGCCCAACTATCGGCCGACTGAAGAATGTAGTATGCGCCAAGGCTAAATCCAATGCATTTTCCAACACCACTTCTTTTCTCCTTCCTCTATTGAACATATTTATAAGTCTTTTGTCAATACACAAAGATATTGGTTTACTCATCATATTTACAGTTCAAAAGTCCTGTGATCGAAGCAAACGTGCAAATTCATCATAATAAAACAAAAGACAGCGTCCTAACTCCTCCATTTGGCGATGACGATATAAATAATATTTAAAAGTTTATTTTGTGATTTTAATTAACCAGGAAGTAGAAAGAAGAATAGGGAAACTACCGAATATTCGGTTGGTGGGCGACTTAGTGGACAGGTTTCGTTAACAATTTTTAACAATATTTCTTTTTATCACAGGTGGTGAAAATTATCAGATCGTCCGAGACGGCAGGCAGATACATTTCTTATAGATTAGTTTGTTAACCCTAGATTAAGTAATAAATTCCATTTCCTATTTTTAAATACAAGCGGATGTTTTATTTAATGGTTTTTCGACGATAAAATACTTCTATTTGGCTTTTTGGGGAATACTGTTTAATTATTATATTTAAAAGAAGCTGACATGGCTCAATCAGACTAACGGCTCTAAATTAATGCAGGACAAATACGAGTACTTGATTTACACCATGTATACCTATCCCATATGGGAATTGAACCCGGGACCTCGGTAGTGTGAGTCAAAACAGTCCAACTCTGCCCACAAAGGCTTTAGGCAACAAAATAGGCAAAACTTCAAAATAGGCAAAAGCAAATAACTTCAATGAAAACCCAAAAACAGAACGCGACATTCTTATCAATAATTGAATCATTGATCTCAAGTCTTCTAACTTTAGATCGGCCCATCTACCACCGCTAGAGACCGTTACCGGACGACCGTAACGCCACAGTACCAATTATACAATAAACCACCGTCTCCCCAATAAAAAAATAGGTAACTTTCGTAAAATACCATAATAGCTGAATATGTAACGGAGGCACGCGATCAGTATGTGCGCGCCAATAGAAATTGGAAATTTTAAAGTATCCATATCTAGAACAATATAAATGCGAAAATAACTCCGTCTGTTTGTTACCTGTCATGGTTAAATAACTAAATCGATTTTTAGAATATTTTTTATCTTGGTTTTTGAAAGAACACGCGCGCCTGAATATGTTCATTTTACAATCAAGTTAGGATTATGTATTCAATAGATTCATAAATAGTTCGATATCAAAATTCTTTAGTTGCTGCCCCACTCTTCTCGTGGATGTTGTTAGAGGCGAATAAGGAAGAAATATGCAAACATCATCCTCCCCAATCTGGCCAGCGTGGGAGTGTAGGCTAAATTCTTCATTTGCCCCAATTAAATCAGAAAGGGTCGTTCTCCTGCAGTAGACATTTTGATGATGATCTTGTTACATAAATTGCCAGTTTCCATTAGCGAACTGTACCTCGTATGCGCACGCGACGGCAAGCTTCACACGGTGTGAGCGCATCTCGCCCCGCGCACGTTCGAAATTCGAATTCACTTCAATTCTGTAATAACAACTTACCTTTCGCTGCCCAATTTGGAGCTGGTGACAAAAGTCCTTTCACAAAAGGCGAAGGTGCAACACTGGACACTCGTGCGCTTAATTAATCCAGGTCGTAGTCGTGAATTAAAATTTCTGAAGTGGACCATTGGTTTTTTATAGTGCTAGTGTTGTGTGTGGACTGCTATCATCAATGAGCTGGTGACAATAGCATCAATGAGCTGGTGACAATAGGTAAGTTGATTTTTACGATTACGAGGTATTGTGGTTGACGTACGCAGCGGTTAGCTTTAAAAGTTTGATCGGAGACGGGTATTGTACCGCTTCAAAATCTTGGTAGGTACAGTCAGCGTCAAATAGGTGTCACGTTAAGTGACCAAAACGTTGATAACACAACCTTATTCCAATTGTAACAAAGACGTGTTGCGAACTTTTTGGCTACTTTGGATGTACCGAACTATTTGACGCTGACTGTATGGTCTTCTAGAGTGCGGAATTTTGAAAACGATGGTCCTGCTGCTGAAATTGTAGCAACCTCTTTATAGAAAACATCTTCTATTTCTAATTTTTAAGTAATTTCATATTTTCTGCCCTCTCTCTGTAGAGAGGAGAGTCGCCTGGAAGAGATCGCTTCCGATAAGATCGCCTTAATTGTTCCGTTACGATACGATTGATGTATTCTTCTTTCTATTGATGATTCTCAGTTATGCATGGTGTGCAATAAATTCTGCTATCTATAGAATGATGAAAGTTTATACGAAGACACTTACTTACGGTGTTATTAAGTTTTGTTAAGTAAGAGACAATTAGCTGGAATATAAGTGTAAGTTACTTATTTTCAGCATCGCCCCTTTCGAGCATTGACCTCATTTTTGAGAACCCTATAAGAATCAAGATCAGCTCATTTACTTTCAAAAGGGGTATGGTCCGGGAGTACCAAAGGGGGTCCATTAAAATAACACTTAAATTTTTTTTTTCGAAAATAGCAAAAAACNATCAATGAACTGGTGACAATAGGTAAGTTGATTTTTACGATTATGAGGTATTGTGGTTGACGTACGCAGCGGTTAGCTTTAAAAGTTTGATCGGAGACGGGTAATGTACCGCTTCAAAATCTTGGTACAGTCAGCGTCAAATAGGTGTCACGCTAAGTGACCAAAACGTTAATAACACAACCTTATTCCAATTGTAACAAAGACGTGTTGCGGACTTTTTGGCTACTTTGGATTTACCGAACTATTTGACGCTGACTGTATGGTCTTCTAGAGTGCGGAATTTTGAAAACGATGGTCCTGCTGCTGAAATTGTAGCAACCTTTTTATAGAAAACAACTTCTGTTTCTATTTTTTAAGTAATTACAAACACCTGTCTTCTCTCCGTAGAGGAGAGTCGCCTGGAAGAGATCGCTTCTGATAAGATCGCCTTAATTGTGCCATTACGATTGATGTATTTCTAGTGATTGTTAGTTATGCATGGTGTGCAATAAATCCTGCTATCTATAGAATGATGAAAGTTTGTACAAGACGTGAGTTTAGTACTTAGTTTCGTTAATTAAGACCGACAAAAGTTCCTGAAATATAAGTGTAAGTTACTTATTTTCAGCATCGCCTCTTTCGAGCATTGACCTCATTTTTGAGAACCCTATAAGAATCAAGATCAGCTCATTTGCTTTCAAAAGGGGTATTGTAATTCTATTATGATTTCAGTTTATTTCCATGACGGTCGGGAAATTGAATTTCCTACGGACAATCTAATTAGTCTGAAAATTTTCGCTAACAATGTAACCTAGTTCCTTACCTATTTATGTCAGTTCAGTCTTAATTACCAGTTTATCACAAAACCTAAGCTATAAAATCGATATGAGATCGTTTACCGTTGAATTTTACGTCTGAGATCTATGCGATTCGCACGGCATTCAAACTTGTATATTACTTTACGACATTTAATAGGTCTATAACGTATTGCCCATTAATCGATTTCCCCACGTTACAAATTACTAGTTTGCAAATTTATTATTCCTAATCGGGTTACATGTTAGGTGTTTCAAGAAAACTAAACTAGGAATACCTGTTCCCTGGGAATCAAAAATAAATCATTCTAGCGCTGATAACCGAGGGGCTATTCCCACCTGTCGTTAAAATTACAGGACTATTCCCACCTCTCGATCCTACCGCTGCAACTCCTGTGTTTGAAAACCGACTTAGTTTTTCTCGCTTTGAAGTCCGAGGTTTTTATAGCATTAAAATAAATAATAATTAACTAAACTGAAATAATTGGCTAAAACTAGTTTTTATGGTAGCAGTCGCCTACCTTTTAAATAAGCATAAGTGATAAGTAACGATATTGTTTTAATGTTTGTATGTCTAATTCTGTGAATATGTATAATGATAAACTGACATAAATACTTACTTGAGTTATTAAGGCGATTAGTGTCCTCAATCCGCGCCAAATGGGCATTTTGTAAAGCCTACTCCTCTTTTACTGCTGGACAGAAATAGTTGAAAAAAATATATGTTATACAACAGTTCAAGGACTACATTTGTGACGTTTGAATTTTCGCTACGTCTCTTTGTTTTGGATTAAAAAAATAAATACGGGACATCGATTTTTTACTTAAATTCCCTACTCCTCCAAAACGGCTATGTTAATTTAAAAGATTTTTGCACGAATAGATTAGGAATTCTTTAATCTTTAAATGACACGTTGCGTTTTTCAATCGAACATTACTTTCATTCATAAATTTTACTTTTGATAAAATCGGTAGAATCTGAACATGATTAAAACTCTAATCAAGGGCCACCATAGAGGCAATTTGTATTTGAATAATTTAATAAATTAAATATCGATTTATGGTTTCAAAATTGTGATAATAAGAATCAAAGTAATTATAAACTATTGGTATACCTAGTTAGCAGAGTTATTAAAATGTGCTACTGGTAAACATAATTAAACAGAAAAAGTATAGAAGTAATATCAGCTGATTCTACTGATCACACGTCATATTTTACGTGCATAAGTAGTTTTTCCCTTCTGTCTGCTCTGCACCTGTGAAGTCGGTGTTACAGTTTTCATAAAAAGCCTTGAAATATCATAATAATCATATTACCCAGCTTCCTAAAATATCTATATTGTTTATGTTTCTACTATATTTTTCGTATACAGAATCATCTTAAAATGTCCGAATAGATATCACTTGGTCACGAAAAACAAATTAGAAAGTTGGGGCTTACTTAATATGAATATGAAATATTTATAAACGTGCGAAAGAAACCTTCATCATGGAAAACATTTATGTGGACGAATTACTCATAATTTGTCATATAAAGTAGGTCACATTAATATGACACNAAAAAAAATTAGGTTTTCTGACACTTAGAAAAATTTTGACGACTTTAGTATGGAGTTTAGACAGCCGAATTTTCGAGCGTAATTTGTATGGAGCTGGGACTTGTAATATTTTTCGCTTTTCACTTAGTGTAGCAAGGGGGGTCTTAGAACATAGCCGAATTTTCGAAGGCATTTTGTATGGAGCCGAGACTTGTAAAAATTTTCGCAAATTGTTTACGCCGCGCGTCGTAATGCGATGGCTTAATTCGGATTTCCTCGTCTCCGGCGCTGCGGGATGAGCAGCCTCTTCGCCCTTACGTAACAAGGGGTAATCACCCACGCTCGCCTCCGCAGCTTCGGCTTGCTGGTCGCCTCCGGCGACCAGCCTCAGCCGCTCCAGCTCGCACGGGTGACTACGCCTTGTTACAGTGGGCGGAGGCTGCTCACCCTCCGCGCCTCCGGCTTTGGAATTACACTCTAGTATCGGGCAGACAAGTACCACGGCCAAAGGACCACGGCGAGTCGGGGTAAACGCAATTGGATAATCAATGGTCTTTCATACATAGATTAATAGACTAGAAAATTGCAAATATCTCAGTAACGGTGCGTCAGATCGAAAAAATAATGA